ACAATAAAGGTGCAGTGAGGAATACAGACCAGCTAAATACATACAATAAGGGAGCAGTGAAGAATACAGACCAGCTAAATACATACAATAAAGAAGCAGTGAGGAATACAGACCAGCTAAATACACACAATAAAGGTGCAGTGAGGAATACAGACCAGCTAAATACATACAACAAAGGAGCAGTGAGGAATACAAACCAGTTAAATTCAAACAGTGAAGGGGCAGTGTAAAAAAAAGAGCAGATAAATATCTACAGTGAGGATTACAGGCCAACTGGATATGTGCAATGAAGATGCAATGAGGAATACAGACCAGTTAAATATGGGCAGTGAAGGTGCAGTGGGGAATACGGAATATATGTCTGATATATACTGCTATTATATACTGGTGATTTGCTCAGTTTGGTCACCACACAATGCACAGGCATGTCCTAGTCTGCAAGCAGCGAAAGAGCGTAATCTCCAAACTGGCAGGGTGAAATGATTTCTTATTCTTTAATTTCAAGATTCTCCTTCTCCCATGGGACAAGGTGGCCGTGATGAGGTAATCTCCCAGCCAAATAAACCCCCGGGGGGCAGAGAACACTTATACAGGCTACATCCCCACCACGTAATGATGGGCCTGCTCACCATGACTGTAGACACGAACACACCTGTCTCAGTGAGTGTTTTCTTGGCAGAGAGCAGAAATCACGGGATGGATGTGTGTGTGTGCCACCGTCTGTCTCTGCCAGGATACAGTGGGGGTGGGGTTGTGTAATGGATGTATGTCATCCAGTCTCCATGGCTTTACAGCCTCCATACTGCAGCCTCTTGGTGTTACTGCCCCTTTACACCATGTCGTGACTAAAACGTGCGTCGCACGCGTACGCCGGGCACGGCGGCCATTGGCAGCCACTGGGGCTGGACACGAGGACATACTCACATTCCAGGTGCTTCTTCTTGGGGCCCATCACCTCATGAGTGGTGGCTTTACAGACAGCCCGGGCCACCTCGGAGCCCGTCAGGCTGTACTGCGCCGCAGCGATGCGATCCGTTAGTGTCTGCCCCGACATCTTCTCTCCGCAGCCTCAGGCTCGCCAAAGCGTCAGATCGCAGCGCCTCTCGTGTGTCCGAGGCTATCCTCCACAGGCTGGGATGCGCCTTTTCAGGGAAAACGAGCCCGAAACCCCCTGGTCTAATAAAGAAATGTGCGTTTTCTCAGCTCCGCGTTAAAATGCCAGCTTCATATACGATGTCTGACATGGACACTCGCAAGGTTGCGCCGGTCTTCTCGCCGCTTCAGCCGTTTATTCTAACACATTTGCTGATGCCCGATGTTACAAACTACCTCTTCTAACGTTTAAAAGCTAGTAACCGAATTGGCTATTATAATAAGGACAGACTCTCAATTAATCCGCATGCGACAAGCCTGCGTTTCTAAAGAATTACCGGGAGAGCCTGAATATATTTATATATTTAGCCTATATATAAAAATCTGCTGTATTTTCCTCACTACAAATAAATCCGACGCCGTCCACTTTTCCAGCGTGTTTTTTTTTCTTTGTTTCCGATTTTAATGCGGCGGATGAGAGCGGAAAAGCCGCACAGGCTGTAAGCGGTGCTGAAATGACTGCCGGCTCTGGGCGCTGCCGCTCGCCGCTGATGCCCTTCTCTCCTCCGCTCAAGGACCCGTATCAGTGCAGTTCCGTGAGGCGCCTCGCTCGCCTCTCCTCTTCCTCACGCCGCTTTGTGCTGGAAGCTGCGCCGATTTAACGGTCGTTCATTTATTTCTTTATTTAGCCATTTATTTATTTATTTAGCCACCAGTCTCTCTCCTCCCCCCTCGGCCGAGTCAGCTGACCACCGTTAAAGCACTGGCGACACCCCCGCTTATCCAAGGGGAGCGGCTGCTCCCGCAATAACGCGTCTCACGGCGACTCCGCTAATTTCAAACGATACATGAAATACATCAAATCTTTCATTTCTTTGACCAATTACCAAAAAACACGTTATGACCCAAAATATGGCCACTTATCTCCTTATGGTGCCAGTTTGCTTAAATTACGGAACTAGTGCAAAATATCACTATCATAATCAGTTTGGTTTAAAATAAAAATAATGCTATAATGTCGTGAGCGTCAAACACCAAATAAGCCTTTAAAATGAATTTACTGGTTTTTATAAAAAATTAAGTCATCTACAATGCTGGTCACTATTCGAAATGTGTCACAGAAGTGACAGACACAGCGATCACACAGCTAAGGGTCGCGGTGTATTAAATTCATCCATCTTATCGGACAGCGGGCTGTCGTGTGTCATTTTAAACTTCTTTATCCTTCATCAGATCCCTAAGATTCCGCAGTTTTTTTTTTAAACGGTTAACTAACAATTAGTTAACGTGATCCGATTGATGATCAGCAATAGCAGACCGACATCGGCAGTTTGCTAAAATGTTGTTGCTAAATTGGCGTCAATAAAAAGTTGAATTTGTTAACGCAATTTGTGTTTATTTGTTCACCTTCAACAGTAATACAAAGTAGTACTCAGCTTAATTAGTATTAACCATTCAGTCATTGTTTAGGCTCAACCAAATAATCATATAACTGAAAAACTGAATATTTAATACTCTATGAAATTAAACATATGCTTTAAAGATGTCTTATAGACCAATCACTGGCTCATCAGTTTCATAAATAAATAAATTTCGACTGGAAATCACTGAATCACACCCAAACTGTTAAGAGGTCATCATGACAAAAACCCAGAACACACACAATGCATTCTAAGAAAAAATGGGTAAAAATTTGTACCTTTGCTTGTTACTGGGGCTGTACACTTGTATTTGTACTTTTTAAGGTACAGAAATAGACTATGAGGAACATCCCAAAGGTAGAAACAGCATTATTGTACCATCAATGGTACAGAAATGTTCCTCAGAGTCTCATTTCTGTACCTTAAAATGTACAATTACTTACAACTAAGTGTACAAATGGCAGTCCCTTGATGTTACAGCCCCATTGACAAGCAAAGGTACAAATTTTTACCTTTTTTTCTGAGTGTGTGTGTCAGAGGCCTTAAAAGTGTGCTGTTTGTGGACCCTGTCACTTGGGTCCAAAATAGATCAAAACCACTAAGCCCTTGTTCACATGTTCCCATACTAACAGGAGAGCATCATGACCAAACACACCACGCATTTCTAAAAGCAGGACCAATGCTGCAGGTGCAGCTAAACTGATCACCCCATGAAGCCGGGAACAGCCCCCTGAAAGCCAGCATGCAACGTTTCACTCTTGGCACAGTGATCTTATAGTGGTTTATTCAGTGAGACAGGACATTATGGAATGATACAGTGATGTTCACACTGGCCAAGGAGGCCCACACATGGACAAAGGTGCCCCATATATACAAATAAAAATCATTTAAGTTAAATAGTGCTGCTTCTGAAAGGTAAAGTACAGGCATTATACATACAAAAAGAAAGATATACAAAGTTGATTCTTTAGTTAGCAATTTCTGAGGTGGTACTGTTGGGTCCTTCAGATTTGACCCGTCACGTCTTGATCAGACCTTCCAGGAAGTCCTTCTCCACCATCTCCTCGATGGCCTGCCGGGCACGGCTCCAGAACACCTTCTGGCTCTCCAGCTTACCATCCTTGGTGGTGTAGGCGGGGCTGAAGGCGGGGCCAGGGGCGGGGCCCGAGCGGCATCCCATCTTGCTGCTGAACACCTGGCTGAGCAGGTTGAAGAAAGGCAGCAGCTGCTCCATGCTTCGGATGGCATAGAGCGTCAGCAGGAGGCGGCCCGGTTCCCACGTGAGGGTCCGGCTCGAGCAATCTTCCTCCGGATTCTTCTACATGAAGACAGATAAGAAAGTGTGAAGAGGAGGGATCGGGAGCACAGGCAGACACTCGGAGAACAGATGCTGCCTGGTACCTTGGCCCGCTTCCTCAGCAGCTTTGCCAGTCGAACCACGTAGGGCTTGAATTCGCGCTGATGGGTTCCTTGCCGCCTCCCTTCCAGCCCCAAGTCGTCAGATGCCTCAGGGATAAATGCCCAACGATACCTGGGACAAGAGCGACAGGGAGAGTGTGAACAAAGGCTCTCCACAGGTTGCAGATAGAGGGCACCACCCCATGGGAACAGGCGGCCTGACGTACATCTGGAACTGCGGCAGGCTCTCAGATGGTAGTGCCAGAGCTAAGTCCAGCAGCTTGCAGGCTGAGAGGTACAGGTTGAGCCAGCGTTGGCTGTTGTAGGAGGTGGAGAAGCCGTTTCCTCCAGAGTAGGTGGTCTCCAGCCCAGCCACGGCGGGACCCGAAGTCCTAGGGAAGCAGGGCCATCAGACGCAGGTGTGGGCGGATGCTGTCACAATACGGTACGGCTATGGTTTGCCATTTACCTGGAGATGTCTTCATCTGCGGTAAGCTCCTGCTCCATGAGTAGAAACACTTGTACCTGGTTGGGGTAGTCAGCGAGAGACCGTTCACAGAAATCCCAACTCACTAGCAGAAGCAAGTCCGTTCACGGGCCGGTCTGAAGGAGCGTGATGTGGGTAAGAAGACGGCAGAGTCCATGTGTCTCACCAGCTCCGTGATCATGGTCGGCCACAAGGAGGTCAAGTGCTGAGGGGACATGCGCAGCAGCAGCACCCTGAAGAACAGGAAGACCTGAGCGTGCAGGATGGGCACCTGTGGCAGACGTAAGCTCTCCACCAGACGCTCTGCGAGGGGCACAGAAGGATGCAGCTAAAGATGGG